AAAAAACCGAAATCCAAAACAATTCTTGTCTGGAGCATTTCTGATAAGGGATACTCAATCTGTATAATGCTCTTAGTAGAATCAAATTCAGAGACAGAAAGTACAACAGTAAGCCAGGCACAGCAGTGCACGCCAGGCACAGAGAAGCACAACTGCTACTGCTTGGGAGGTTGAGGTAGGAGGGATATTAAGGTTGAGGTCAGTTCCAGCAACTTAATGAGATCCTGTCTCAAAATAAAAAGGGTTGGGGGCTGGGGCTCAGTGGTACAGCACCCCTGGGTTCATTCCCAGTGAAAGAAAGATGGGGGGGGGTTGCCATGGCAGGGGTGGGATGAGTCATCAGTGTTTAATGGCGACAATTTCAGTTTAAGAAGATGAAAGAGCTCTTGAGTGAGATGGTGAGGACAGCTACACAACAGTGTGAGTGTACTGGATGCCACCCAATTACACACTTAAACGTGATTAAGATAGTTAAATTTTATGTTGTAATTTATCATGATTTTTTAAAGGACAAAACATTAGATCATCTTTTTGCCTCAATTCCAGGAAGGGAACAGGCCTACCATGGAGTCCTGAAGCCTCTGGGCTGATCACACCAGCTCCTTAGCTTTACCCCAGTCCCCAAGATACCCAGGAACAGTGGCAGAACCTGGTAGAGTTATGCACAGACTTCTCAAGAAGAAAACAAGTGGAGGAGAGAAGCAGTTCCAGTTGCTAGAACCTTCACTTCATCTACTCCTGAAAAGCTGGAGGCCCAGCCAGATTTCTCAGGCTGCTACTTGTCTGTGAGGCTGCCCTGAGCCCACCTTACCTCAGCTGCATTTGGGAAGTTTCCTTTCCTTTTTTGGGAAATCTGCCTTTCCTCCACACCCATCAGCTACAGGGCACGTGGGTGTTATCAAAAAAGTGATTTCCCAAAAAAGGAAGAGATTTCCAAAAGGGAGTCCCATCTTTGGAGCTGCCCAGAAAGGCAGTGGTCAGCCCCTGGAGCTAGACATGCCCACAGGCCCCCCCCCACCTCAGCAGAGGTCTCCAAGCAGAAAAGGATTCCCAAAGCAGAACCAGAGTGAGACTGCTGCCCTCTCCTGCACACCACAACCTGCCTCTTCCGGACCTAACCCTGCAAGGCTGATATAACCTTTCTCCTACCACTCCTCAGAGCTCTCTGGAAGACGTTCCTCCTTCATAAGAAGTGATCTGTAAGAGTCACCACATGCCTATCTTGCTCCAAGAACCACCCTTTGTCCCACTTTCTCCCTTTTCCCGACGGCCCCTACCCGCTTTCTAAGTCAGGAGCCGAAATTCTGTAGCAATGCATCACAAAGTTGGTGAGCTCAACTCCACAAATATCTACTAGGTCTGGTCTACCCAAGCCCCATGCCAGACAATGCAGGAGATACCAAAAATTATCAGGGACCCAACAAGGGGTAAAATGTCACAGTCCAGTTAGTAAGATAACATTTAAACAAATTAAAACAAAAGAGTAGGGGGCTAGAGTTGTGGCTCAAGGTTAGAGCGTTTGCCTAGCACCTGCAAGGCCCTGGGTTCGATCCTCCTCACCACATAAAAATAAATAAATAAAATAAAGGTATTGAGTCCAACTATGACTAAAAAAAAAAAAAGATTAAAAAATTTTAAGAAAAAGTTAAAACAAACAGTAATATCATATAAAAATCAAATGCTAATTTATAACAGATTGTGACTAAGTGCTAAGGGAACAAAGCAGCTGTAAAATGCTATAGATCCATTACATATGGTGCAGTAGATCACTTAGTGGGTGGCCACCAGCAAGAGCTAGAGCTGAGCCTAGTAGGACCAGCAGGACCCAACTTGGCCACATGCTGCTCAGAGCTGCTGTTTTTGGAGAGAAACAGGTGGGGCCACTTCATAGACATGGGGTGATGTGGCACGTTACAGGAAGCACCATGTACGTGACTTCCTGGCTAAGAAATACACACAGGCAGTCCTGCTAGCCATCGGTGGCTGGTATGGAGGGAGCCCAACATAAACCCTCCAGTCCAGGAGCAGGCCCACCCCTACTCTGAGATTGCCACTTCCCAACGGTGAGCAGCAAGCCAATCCCATTCCATTACTTCTCACTTGAGAAAAATCTGACAGGTAAGTCTTGTGCTATTAAAGAATGGAGCTGACAGCAAATTATATTTGCATTTTAATTTTTAAAAATAAGCTCAAATTTAAGTAAACCACTGACTGAATCACTCAAAGAGTTTCTCAGCTTGGGTGCTGTTGACATTTTGGGCCAATCCTTCTTTGGTCTGTTCTGTACATCACAAGGATGTAGTAGCATCCAAGGCCTCCATCCCCTAGACGCCAGCAGCATTCCTGCTCCAATTGTGACAATCAAAGATGACTCTGGACGTTGCCATGCAGCTCTGAGGAACCACTGCTCTTCTAGGCACTCACAGGAACTCTCCAGCTCACCTGGCGTTCTGCCCACGTGGGCCTGCCTGCAAAGACACGCTTCTTCTCCCTCAGAACTCGGCTGGCCAGGCCGAGGTGGAACTCTCTGCCAAGGGAAGGCTCCTGGACTCTGGACTGCTTGTTCCAGGGAGTGACCATGAAGGACAAACCTGATATAGCCATCAGGCATGCAAGAGGCCTCTCGAGCTCCTACAAGAGGAGCCCCCATGTTTCTTTCTGCCTGACCTCCACCAGGACTGCTTCTTCCTGTCTGGCTTCCACCCCAATTGCCTCTTCCTAGCTAGCTTCCACTAGGATCACCTTTTCCACCTCGCTTCTACCCCAACTGTCTCCTCCTGCCTGGCCTCTACCCACCTCTCCTCAACTCCACCCTGTCTCCTCCTACTTGGCCTCTACCCCATGGCCTCCTTGCAACTTCCTGATGAAACAGGGAAAAAATCTCAAAATCTTAAAGGCATTTTGACGTAACTGCCAAAGTTCTTTTTCACTCGTAGAAATAATGCCACTTTATCCCAAGAGGCACTGTGTATGTCTATAGAACAACTTTAACTAGCTACCCGTCAATCATTTGCTCCAAGATCATCTGCCCATATACAAAAACCTTTCAGCTCTGGTCATCCCCCAGTGCCCTCTCTTCCAAGTCTCCTGGGGCTTCTTTGTTTCCTCACACCCCTGGCACTGGGCCACCTTGGCCCCAACACCAAATGAAATACTACCCGGCCTGCATCCAGGTTGCTGGGAGACCAGTGCGGGCCATGAGGTGTCAGCACTCCTGGCTCGATGGTCTCAATTATTGAGAAGCTCTGGGATACAGCATGTGCTTGGCGTAGTGTCGATTCAGAGGCAGCCTGTAACCACTTTCTTTGTACTTGTGCAACAGAGCCAAAGGGAACAGTGGATTGTGCTGGACTTTAGTTGGACCCAAAGAAAGATTTCCTACCACAATAATCAGTCACCAAGGAAGGTCCAGGGAGTTCTGTTTCAGGCTGGTTTATGGCCCAAGCCCAGCTTAAACGCAATCCAGTGAGCTCTTGAGGTTCGCTCTAGAATGGTAGACAGCTGCAGGACTTCCAAATGGGCCAACCAGGAACAGGAAGGACAAGGCAAATCTCAACACTTGTGGGAGCCCAGCCTCCACCTAATATCTGCTTGCTCACATAAAGATCAGGCCAGGAGGACGCTAAGGGCAGAGTCTGTCCTGCAGGCCTGCCTCCTGCCTCAAGGACAGCAGTGACCAAGAGCATCACCTTCTTGTTCCTGCCCCTAGCAGCTCCTACCTTGCCTCCGTCTAGAAGTATTCACCTCTAATCTGCTCACTTCAAACTACTCTGGACTACAGATGGTCTGGGCAAAACTTTCTGCTTCCCAGAACCAACGAAGCAACCACTGAGGTACAGTCAATACAGATACGTAATGGGATAACAGGTATGGATGACATGCCTATTCACGGTCTCAGGAATAAAAGGTGAGAAAGTACCACCAACCCACTTCTGGTATTTACACACGTTAGCTCTAATGACCACCCCAAAATCCCAGTGTCCCAGTGCTCTGGAAGGTCCTTAAAACACAGTCACCTCTATTCACACTGCAGATCTCTCATCACTGCAGCAAAGAAATGACCTCTGCATAGGACAGGTGGGCCAACCTATTTGACATAGCATGACTAGATTTTCTAGCATGATCTCAATTTTCAGAGATTGCCCAAATGCAAGTGTAGACACGCACACACTCATCATTCAAAAGCAACTGGGAAAGGTGGTCAAAACGTCCTTCTTTAACCCTTTATAGGTGTAGTCATACTTTAAACATGGGAGAGAAATCTCCTTTAGAGAAAAAGGCAGGGGCTGACATGAGTGGAAAAACAAAAGCCAGAACACTCCACTTGGTTGGGCTGGGTGTTTGGTCTCTGGAGCAAGAACAGCAAACGTTCGTCCAGCGTAGGACAGTCACTCAGGACCACGAGGCTTCTAACATTAGCTAAAGACATCTGCCCAAGATTGAATGGGATAAGCAAAACTAAAAGTCAGAAACTTAGAGGCAGCCCTAGGATGACAGCACATGAACCCATCTGTCCCCTGCCCACTCCTACAGGTCCACAACTTGTGAAAGTCCTTGCTGAGACTCAGGACTTTGCCCTCAATTTCCTCAATGCCAAGTCCAAACTCCTATTAGCCTTGAAGAGGAGTGACTTCCCGTCTTACTACTTCCTCCCACCCTCAACCATTGAAGAAGACATCTCAAACCCAGGGTTCTAGGTTTTCATAGCCATCTCCAATGGATGCCAAAAGTCCTTCAAAATAGCCCAAACATCTGAGCATGGTGGCTCATGCCTGTGATCCCAAGGGCTCAGAGAGGCTGAGGCAGAAGGATCACGAGTTCAAAGTCAACCTCAGCAACTCAGCAAGGCCTGAAGCAACTTAGTGAGACCCTGTCTCAAAATAAAATATGAAAAGGGCTGGGGATGTGGCTTGGTGGTTAAGCACCCCTGGCTTCAATCCCCAGTGCCAGAAAGAAGCCCCAACAGAAGCTAGGGAGTAGGCAAGCAGGAGGACACTCACCATCTCATCCAGGGCGTAGCGCAGGAGGCCATGCTCATAGAGGATGAAGAACCGCCGCTGCCATTTCTGCAATGGAGCACAGAGTCTGTCGTCAGGGAAGTCCCGGCCCCAGCTCTCAGCTGACTGAGTCCTGTGTCTGTCAAACCCACATCTAAGAAATACTGGTTCCGTGGCTTCAATTTCTGGGACAGACAGCAGGAAAAGAGACCCAGCGCATCACCACAGTGATTCATTAGCCAGGCTGAGGCCCAGAGAGGAGTCCCAAATCATAGGCATGACTTGGGGCTCCACACAAGTAATATTGGGATTTAACAAGAAGCTTTTTAAAATCTGGGAGCTCATGGGAGCAAGTCATGTGGAGTCACACTTCTAATTCCTTACAGCAGCTGGCACAGATCTATCACCTGATGTGTGTCAATATTTTTTGCATGAATGATCAGACACAATCTGGAATAACCAAAGGATGAGAAGGCACTGATTTACCACTTCTGAAAAAATCCAGGCAACTGCTAGAAAAGCACATGATCCACTGGGAGACCAAAAATAAAGACAGCTAGGCTCCAGGCAGTGATGGAAAGAACTAACAAAAATCAGAAGGGAAGAGGAGCAAGACAGGGTAAACAACCCTCATCCAGGGTGGTGGTCAACTGCAAAGGGACCCCCCTCTCACTTTCTAACCAAAGGTCAGGTCACCAGGGGTGCCCACGGTGGTGGAATGCCACTAAGAGCTGGAATGGAAAGGACTAGAGAGGCGCCTTCCTTCTGTGTGGAGAAGGGTTTTGTCTGCTACTGAGGCTCTTGGTATAAATCATGATTGATGGGCATAGCTCCCCAAACCTCAAGATCATCAGGAGGGTCCAAGACTACACTTAACCTTTCAAAAAACTCAACCATATCCAGATCTTTACTAGCAATGAGGCCAGAGAACTAACTACAATATTATGTCTCTTTTTTATAATAATATATAATCAATTTATAATAATAATAATGATTTTCCTTTTAGAAACTGGAAATGGCAGCTCTGTACCACCTTAATAGAAACCAGGAAAGGGACCTGGGAACTGTAGTCTAGACCTGTTGCTACTGAGCCCTCCCACCTGGGTAGCAGGAGTAGGGATGTGAAGGGCCTTGCAAGAGGATCTACAGGGGGTGGTCCAGGTTGGGTGTCCAAGGGGAGACTGCCTGGACATGTTTCCAGGAAACATTTTCAAGGTTATATGTTGTCTCTAAGATCAAAACCAATGCAGAAGGAAGCCCAAAGACACAATGCAAGGTCAGTGGGACAAAAATATGCACTCCCAGGGCCCTGGTCCAGGCAGAGAAAGGATGAGCAGCAAAGACCCCAAAGAAGGGGAAGGGGAGCTCCAGAACGCAAGGGAGGCGAAGCAGCAGAGCTGGAGCAGTTGGTACCCAGAAGGGAACGCACAAAAATGAAAGGGCAGTGTTTTGCCTAAAGACAACCTAAAAGGGCTTCCTGGCCAAGAACAAGCCATCAGGCAGGATGATGCTGGTCGACCACCTGGACTCCAGCAGGCACCTGACCTGGCTGGGGGCCAGGAGAGAGGGCAATGTGATGTTTAAGGTGCACTCGGGCCCTGCCCCTGCCAACAATGCTCCTGGTTCTGGGCCTCGGCTCCCTGGGAGCTGCAGGAGGCACTCTTGGAACCGAGAACCATATCAGTATAATGCACAGGTGCTCAGCTGCTCTTTTGGCTTCCAATTAACTGGGCAGAATCAAGAGCCACGCTGATCCACAAAACAGATGGCACCCACACGAGAGCATCTTGTTTTGAAGGGAAGACTTTGAAAAAAATATGCCTAATTGAGACTTTCTGTGAGCCCTGTGAGTCCACCAAATGAGGGTCTCAGTCGGCCTGCCATCCCAGGACATCCATTCTTGTCTTCCTCCTCCATCTGCCAATGTGCCCTCAGAGGGCCTCCCTGCTCTCTCTGGTCCCCGCCACCCTGAGAATTCACTCTGGTGCTCTTACCCGGGACCGATGCACTGGGTTGTCAAAATCTGTCCCATCTGGAGCCAGGAGCAGCCAGCCACCATAAATGGGTTTTGCCTAGAAGAGAAAAAGGAGGAAAGATCATTAGAACCATAGCAAGAAAGACCAGGTCAAGTTGACAAACACAAAGTCATCCCAGCTCAGCTGAACATGCCTTCCCTCCCAAGCTACAGACTCTCCAGGGCAGATGCACTAGAGTAATAAGTTAGGGGGATCCTATAACATCCAGGGCAGAGTGGAGCAAGCAGATTCTGGCAGGAGGTGGAAAACACTGAAGACTACCTCCCTCAAGTTCCTGAGCAACACATTAAGATCGGGGGGGGGGCATTTTATTCAATAAGAATGTGAGTGCTGGCATGTAGTAGCATCAGAAATATGTCAACAACACAGCCCCCAGTCCTCATCCTGAAGATGAAAAGCAGGGCCAGGGAGAAACACTCTGCTAGTGATCAAGGATCAAGTCTATACCATCCAAGGAGTCACTGCCCACTGGCTGTAGCCAGAAGACAAGAACCTTCTGAGCTTCAAGCCTCCCATTTTAGAGGTGGAGAATTTTGACACTTGTATCTATATCTCACAAGTTTATGGGGGGATTGATAAGATACTACAAGTAGAATCCAGCATCAGGATGTAAAATGGTGCAGCCACTTTGGAACACAGCCTGGTAGTTCCTCAAAACGATCATTGAAGAGTTACCACAAGCCCCAGCAAACCCACTCCTATGTACATGCACCTACGAAAACTGAAAACAGGTGCTGAAATAAAAACCTGTACACAAATGTTCCTCACAACATCATCCACAATCACCAAAAGGTGGTAACTACTTAAATGTCCGTCCACAGATAAATGAATGAACAGATATGGTCTAGCCATACATGGAACATTACTTAGCCATAAAAAAAAGAGAGTAGTACTGATGTATGCTATAACATGCAAGAAACTTTAAAAAAAAAAAAAAATCCAGACACAAAGGCCCACCATACTGCAGGCAAATCAATAGATCAGAAATATTAGGGGGAGAGGGGATGGAGTTTCTGCTGATGGGTAATAAAAGGTAATAAAATATGGAGGTAATAAAGATATTTGGGAATGAGATAGTGGAGCTAGTTGCACAACATTGTGAATATGCTAAAACCAGATGAATTGTACGTTTTAAAAGGGTGAATTTTGTGGTATGTGAATTATATCTCAATAAAAACATAAGAAAAACCACACTAAGCATGGTGTCTGGCCTGTAAATTCTCAATAGACGTCAGGCACTGTCTATTATATTTTTACTGTCCAAAGAGGACCCCACTCCCAAGATCCTGGCAGTGGGAGCTCAACTCAGGTTATGAGAACAGAGACAGACACTCTGGCTCCATCCCTCTCCCTCTTCACCCAGCTGGCAAGAGGGGCGGGAAAAGGCATAGCCCAGCCACGTAACCATTACCCTGCGGAGGGCAGTAACACCAAGGAAAACGGACCCCCGACTTTTGGTCACACAACAATCTCTGGACAAGCCTTGGGAGCCCTCTTATAAACCGTTTCCATGCTGAGAGGTTCACACCCCCTCCCTTCACTGTGGAATCTAATATGAGACTCAGAAAAGGCAGGTCACATAGCCCCCAGGCTTCTTTCTGCAGACCTGAGACCCCCTGGGAACACTGACTTACCCCACCAGCAGAGTGCGTAAAGGGGCTGTAGGCCTGAGGTGGGGCAGGCTGCAGGGAGAAGAGGTACTCATTCTGAAGAAACACCAGAGCGGATGCTGGCAAAGGGCGGGGCTTAAAACACCACCCTCCCAGGCCAAGAGGTCCATGAAATGAAATGAGCAAAGGAAACAGGTCTGTTTTCTCTAAAAATACCAGGAGCATCCTGCAGTCCCCAGGTGAGTGAGCACACCAGGCCTCTCTCCTCGTGGCTCTAGGTGAGCACTCCAGTGGACCCCATCAAACCCCCCTCAGGCATGGGGAAGTCAAGGCCTCAGTCAAAGGTCAGACAGCTCCCTGTGTGTACCAATACCCAGTGACTCCGGCCCACAGGTCCCCCACCTGGGAGGTCAGCAGGCTGGACCACGAAGCTGTTGCTCTACCTCCACCTGGTTTAACATATGCCAGGTCGCTGGCCTCTGGCTACAGGGCTTTGGGGTGGCAGCACATCAGTAAGCTACACCTAGCAGGACTTCCCAAAAAAGGGCAGTTAGGCCAGGCGCAATGGCATATGCCTGTAATCCCAGTGGCTTGGAAGGCTGAGACAGGAGGATCATGAGTTCAAAGTCAGCCTTAGCAACTTAGAGAGGCCCTAAGCAACTTAGTGAGACCCTGTCTCAAAATTTAAAAAAAAAAAAAAAAAAAAAAGCGGGGCGGGGGGCGCTGGGGATATAACTCAGTGGTTAAGCATCCCTGGGCTCAATCCCTGGTACCAAGGGGGGTGGGGGAGGACAATGGGGATCTACAGGACTGGCACAAGTTCCCTCAGAACCCAGGCTAACCATGGTCTCAACCCAAATCCTCATTTGCATCAATATTCACTCAACGCCCATCTGGCCAGCCCTACTACATGCGTGGCCCTGAGTGCTGCACATAGGGACTCTGCTGGCACCCACCAGCTAGCTGTAGTCAGAGATCACAGATCATGACCCAGATCACAGTGAAGGCAAGCCCGGCAAACGGAGTGTCCAGAGCAAGAAACAAAGGTTCCAGAAGAAGGCACCTGCCAGGAAGCAGATGACCCCACTGAAAGCATCCACCAAGGCAAATCCAGAGACAGAAGCAGCTTAGTGGCTGCCTGGGGATGTAGGGACAGGAGGGTTGAGAGCCAGGTTTCTTTTGGGGACAATGAAATCTTCAAAAACTTAACTGTGTTGGTGACTGCACCTCTCTGGGAATACATTAAAAATAATTGAATTACACATTTTTAATGGGTCATTTGTATGGTATGAATTTTGTCTCGATAAAGCTTTTTTTCTGTACTGGGGATTGAGCCAAATTCCCACTCCTTTCTGATTTTATTTAGAGACAGGGTCTTGCTAAATTGCTGAGGCTGGCTTTGAACTCACAATACTCCTGCCTCAGCCTCCTGAGCTATTGCAATGACAGGTGTGCACCCCTGTGCCTGGCTTCACTATAACTGTTTTAAAAAAACATTTACCAAGGACTGCCAGCAGTGGGGGAGCAAAGGCTCCTCCTTCGTCAGCTCCAGACTACAGGTGGCTCCCTCCCCTTCTCCCCAGCATGGAGGACTCAAGTTTCTAGGGAGGGATCAAGTTTTCAGGTGCCTGCCCCAGTCAGATTTCAGAAGCTTCATTCAAAGAGACAGGGACAAAGGTTACAAGTCAACAACCAGACCACCAGTTGGTAGAAAGGAGCTGGCGAGGGCCAGCCAGGCAGAGGGGAACAGGAGGCCCAGAGGACACTGAGCGAGCCTGCAGGGTGTGGGAGGGTGAGAGCTCCCAGAGGGCCATTGGGATGTCTGCAGCTGAACGCCAACTAGAACCACACAGCTCAGGGACACAGTCTCCCTGCACAGCCATGTGAGCCAAGGCCAGGGACAGAGCAGGGGTGGTCACCCCCAGCACCCTCACCCCACGCACACACACACCGTGGTCTGGGCTGGGAAGGATTCTCCGGCAAGGGCTCAGTGAGCAGCCATCTTTAACCCTCAGACCTTTCCCGCTGAGAGCATGCAGACTACAACCAGCGCTACAATCCCAGAGTACCACACAGGACCCCTACTCGCACTGCCCTTCCCTCCCCACAGCCTGGCCAAAGTGTCTTCGGTGTCATCCCAGCTCTCACCCTGCCCCTTGCCTGGCAATCCCACCCACCCCTCAGGGCTCCACATCCCTTCCTCCAGGGGCCATCCTGTCCTCCTAGGTCAGCACCCAGTGACTCGCCTCCATCATTAGACAATGACCGGCTTCAGAATTAATGTGTGCCTGTCATTTCTCCACGTAATTATACTGCCCAGACATGTCTGCACCTCACCTTAGAACCTTCACTCCAGGACACAGGGTGGGGTAGGCCCTGCTCCAGCTATGTCCCCCATCTGAAGGCAGGCCTAAGAGGGACAAGAAGGGAAGGCAGGCAAGGGGCCAGACCACTGTGCCTGCAGATCAGTTCTGCTGGGTACTCACTGCTCTCTCTCCCGCTAAGCTTCCTGTTTCTTGGAGAACCTACGGTCCTGACTCAGTCACCCTGACCTTGTCCCCCAGGCATGGAAAAGACTGCTAGGAAGAGTACTGTTCTGCCAGTATCTAAAAATGCCACATGCTCCCACCATCACCGTGGAGTCGCCACGTCTATAAGTCAGAAGTAACTCTGACAGAAGGCCCACAAACAGAGGCAGGAGAGAGCCCAAAAGGAAGCTGGCCTGTCAGCTGAGTGCACTGTGGAACTGAGCGGTGCACTCAGTTTTGCTCTCCTCTGGCTTTGGAGGACACAGGGAAGCAGGTGTCTGCAGCTGATGCTGGAAACTGGAGATGGGCTGCCAGGACCCACGGGAGAGGCCTAAGATCCATTTCACACAGCCCCGCAGAGCAGGCCTTCTGCACATGCCCTCCAGAGAAGGCACAGTGCTCCAGATCCCCAGAGAAGTCACCAAACCTGAGCTACTTGTCCTCCCACACGACTTGCACAAACCAGAGGCTACACGCCAGGCTGCTCTCTGGGAGGACTGTGGGGAAGTCCTTTTAAACCCTTTTAAAAATGGTGACTTGAAACTTCTGCCTCCTGGATGATGGGGAAGATACCATTCTCCCTATTCCTCCTGCTAAACACAACTGAAATCCTGGGCATCACGAGTAAGACAAACATAAGACCCTGAAAGGAGGGTAGCAGAAGACAGAAAGGCTCGGGACCTCAGCAACCAAGAAAAAATACAGTGCTGATTTCCTTAGGCTCACCTTTTATCTCACTATCCTGGACTGGGTACTGGAGAGGCTGGCAACCTGGAAATACCAATGGACACACAGAGAAAAAGAAAAAAAGAAAGCCCAGCCAGGCATCATGATGCACACCTATAATCCCAGCAACTTGGGAGGCTGAGGCAGGAGGATC